TTGTTGTGTATCATTAACTTATTTTATGTTGTATCATTATTTCAAAACTAACTCTGGCTATTACTTTACAGGATCATATGCCAGATTTCAGAACAAAACTAGCTATCATTTAGTGGACTCGAGATTGAATGGCGATGATATAAAAAACTGAGACTTGAAGATGACAGAAACAACACAAATTCCAACGGATTGTATGATTCTGGATAGACCTCTAAGAACATGGAGACAACATAGATCTCACTGTTTATTTATTTATCTAAGGACGTTAAATTTGTTACCATATGTGTTTACCCACAACCAAATCAAGTAAATTATGGATTTTCTTTTCAATGTGCACATGGATTCAGCGGGTCTATGGGTCCACTATTTCATAGTAATCCCTAGGGAGCTGGTGGGCTGACAAGTTTTTGGCCGATTTCATGTTGAAAAGCTTGACCTCCCTAAACCAGTCTACTTCACACTTAGGCTTGAGCAGGGTGGATATATGTTAGTAGTTGAGTTTTACCCCATAAAAGAGGATCTATGTGTTTCATCGGGAGTTCGGGACGAACTGCGCTATCAAGCACCATATCTAAGAATGGGATCGCAACAATAAATCATGCAGTTGCTCAAGCCATTGGGTTCATAGAACACAGAGAGCATATGGCACTTGGGTGTGGTTAGGTCTCAATCGACTGAGACTTAACCAATTCTCAGTCAAGTGACATAACATTCGAAAAAGAAAAAGAACTATTTTTTTTGCACAAATCTTCACATAAGATCCCACTAATATAGCATCGACTGAGACTTAGTTAAATCTTAGTCAGACTGAGATTTAGCAATGCCAATCACTTCTAGGAAGATCAAAAGGTAAATGTAAAGATCACAAACAAGCTTCTCACATTATCAGACGAAGTGTGTGTTACATCAAACAAAATCCATGATCGATCTACCTTGAACCATCCATGATCGCGCTACCTTGGACCCTACTGCTTCAATCACTATCTGTAATCTCAAATAGACTCTTTTGGAAATTCATGATGTTGTGGTTTCGCTTCAGAGCGACTAACGTGGCATGTCTTTTATTGCAGAAGAAAGGCATAGGATCCAGACTCAGATTCAAGCTGCGTTGAGGGTTATGCTGGAGACATGGGTGATGGCTACAACAACTATGTGCGACCGTAGGCAGCGGCAGAGACAGGCCCCAGGCAGCCCGGGCGGATGCCTGGGGCGTGAGGCTGATTCGCTTCGTATATTGTAGAGAGCACTATAGCTACAGTGCTGGGAGGCTTCCTGGGCCGGCCGGGGGTGTGGTTGAATCCTGGCGCCGCCATTGACCGTAGGCATGCCTGCTTAGACGAGGAAATCATGTTCGATACTGCTGGGACATGTACGATGACTCTACCTAATACCACCACCTTCTCGCGTATTGGTCCTTGCTGCGAGCAAGACAATGCATCTCTTGCCTCTGCTAATATAGCTTACATTTATAAAGCCAATGTATGCCATTATCAAGTGATCTGAATATGTTCTTTTAAGCTACCAAGTACCATGTAATGGAACATAAATATCTATTAAGTTAGTTCTATATCAATCTCATATGCATTGTTTGAATAATCGGCTCGCTAAAACTCAAAGTTACTAACAAATGCAAAATTTTCTGTTATAAAAGGTTTAGAATCATTACCGTTGATGCTTAAATTTGGACCTTGCACCTTACTTGGGTAACATAGAGCCAAATAGCACATTGTCCAAATACACGTTCAAAACACTTCAGGTTTGACATGGTCTCTATCCTTGATCAAACATAAAGTTACTAAAAAAGGCAAATATTTTCAACGCGAACATGATTTTAAATGGGTCTCTGCGCCATTTGGCGCACCGGGTCATCTAGTTGACAACAAACATGAATCTCGTCTAGTTGATTTCTCTAAGTCTGCCACCATCGATTGACCGGCTTCGGAATGCACAGATTCTATCAGAGGATGTTGAGTTGCCCCCATTGCAAATACTGATGGACAAGAACCGGAGAATACACAATTTAGTGGCGAACCTAGGAATAAATGATCGGGGGTGCTACGGTTTATAAATAAATAAGAGCATCTACAATGGATCTCACAAATCCGACCCTTCAACGCGACTGGACGCGTCCGCGTACAGTGACCGGTCACGCCATAAATATTTGATTCTACAACCGGATGCCTTAAATTAGAAAACTCAAATCCATATTATTACATGCAACGTAAAGCCATCTAGGCGGAGTTCACCCGGTTCCGCCGTGCCCATGTCCGACGGCTGGCTGCGCTCCCCATAGTGTTGGTCCAGTCGCCGGTAGGGTAGAGTAGGGCATGGGACTTAAGGCGCCGCCGTCTTCATGCCCTACTCTTCCTCGTCGGAGTTCGAAGCGCGGAACCCGAACGATGCCGGTGGACGTCAGATCGATGATGTATCCGTCTTGAGATGAGCCGGCGACATCCACCACGACGTGGTGGCGGCGCTCGGCCGGATTGGTGCACCATACGGAGCGCCGGAGAATGCGATTCCGCCTTGCCGACGTCCACCGCCGCGAGGGCTGCCGCTGCCTCGCACGGTGGGCACGCCGCACCATGTTGGCGTCGGACGGCGCCAATGGTGCGTTGATGGCCTCGACGAGCCAACAGAGGGGTTGCACGTCTGCCATCGTGTTCAACGCCAGACGGACCGCACCGCCTCCAGTGAGGCAACGACGGTCTACCTAGATCTTCCGTGGATTTCCGACGGAAGGAGTCCGAGATTTGCCTCGCACGGGCCTTCTCCCGGGAACGACGGAGCGCATACCGGATGGCCATCTCCTCCTCGGGGCCGCGTGGGATGAGCTTAGAGTCGACGGATCTGGAGGTTAAGGATTCGGATCCGTTGCCCGCCATGCCAGAGAAGGCCGGATGGAGCTTGGGTGGCGGATAAGAATGAAGTGAAGTGACTAGGGTTTGGTCCCGCGAGCGGATGGGCATGAATATATGTGAGGTCGAGTGGGCCAACATGGGCCGGGTCCGACGTGACGGACGCGGCCGGGCGCCCTCATATCTACTCCATATTTAGGCAAGATATAAGGGCAGCCGGTCAGCCCAGGTGTTTGAGCTCTATTTGAGGTGCCTGTTTGGGTCACATTTTCATGACCGTTCAGTGACCCGACCGTCCGCCTGGGCGTTTGAGGTAGTTTTGGGCAGCCCAGCTGTAGATGCTCTAATGCATAGACAATATAACTTCAATAAAATAATTTTCAAATTTGTGAAAATACACTATAAATAAACACAATTTGGTTTAAACATCATTATAACGTTAACAAGCCACAGAATAACATAAAGTTGTTAGTCGATTAGTGCTAAATATACACTACAAATTATTTGCATTTTTAGAGGAGGCGCTATGGCACCCATGACACCCCACTGGATTTGCCCCTGCGTGCATCGAAGGTCTTGTTCAAACATAGGCAAACAAAATTATAATTTGGTGGAATAGCATAGTTTGGATGAACTATTGTTCCTTTTGGATCTTGATAGTTGATGTGTCGATCGAGGAAAGCAGTTAGCTAACTTATGATGTATTCCACGATGAGGTTCTGTTTCTTCGGCACTCCGATTTGGTGGTGAAGGATTGCAAGATTGCTCTCCTTGGGTGCCCTTCCAACCAATGTTTTTTTTTATTTGCGAGAAAACTTTCAATCTATTCACTCTCAATCATGGTAGTACAAGGAACACCGAAGATAATAAAAATTAGAACCAGATCTGTGGACCACCTAGCGACGACTACAAGCATTGAAGCGAACCGAAGTTCTTTTAGTGGTTTATAGATCTCGTTGGTAGTGACGAGTGGTTATTGCAGTATTTAAAACCTTGTGTGAACAGAATCATTTGTAGGTGTTCGTCTTCCTTACTGCCTTTCTAGTGCAATCTTAAGCATCAGTGAGCGGCGAACAATGAAGGAAAAAGATTGTCCGGAAGGTCTTCGACATAATTTTATTTTTGAGAGGTTGTTTGTGTTTCAAGTTTGTCCTTCTTTTATAGTGGCTCGTGTTTTTCTTGATAAACACCAGATATGAGGCACTCCTCTAGGTATATATTTCTAAAAAAAATTGTGTACACACAATCAAAGGATAATAAATAATGGTAATGCTGAAAGATCTGTTGTCAGATTTTTAAGCATGGCAAATTGAATGTTTTTATGTCAATTTATGTTGGTGCGAAGATGACACATTTAGTTTACAAACATGACAATGTTCTGGCAAAAAAACCAAACTGGGACGAATTTATCATGCTTCCCAACTAAACTTGTCATCCTCGGCAAAAATAAATTGTCATGAAAAACGTTCGATTTGCTATGATTATTCTTTTTTTTTGTGAGGGGACATCAGATTTGTAGTTGAGTCCTAAAATAAAAAACCACCACGAAATAACATTGTTGTAACACCACATTTTTTCCAAATTTTTGAAACGTTAATTAATTAAGAAATAGGTAATGTATAGCGTGAGTTGCTTTGATTCACGGCCCCGGACGCTGGCCGCCGAGCGGTGAACGAGGCGAACACATACGCCAACGTACCGGGACGCAAGAAATTGTCGCGCGCGTCCGCCAGCTCAGTCCACACTGCGGCCTGCGGTGGGTGCGTGCACCTCAAGCCCCACTAGTAGTTCACAGCCGAGTGCGTCGCGACCACGCTCCCCTTTACGTGGTCGTCGCGATTAATCGCCCACGCCCAGGTCAAAAGCACATGCACCGTTATTTTTCTTCCCCCGCAGACCCAGCCCGGAAGCCAGGGGCCACGTTTGCGTCAACTTCCCACCGCACCCGCACCGCAGAAGCCACCGCGAAACCCACGAGGCCACGAGCCTCCCGTTTCCCAGCTGCCTCCTCGCCCAGTATTTAACCTCCCGGCCGTTCCTCCGTCTCTCCCGTGCCATCCCAAGCACACGCAGCACGCATCCCCGACGACGAGCTCCCCGTAGCCACTCCTCCTTGTTCCGGCGGCAGCGGAACGCATCGAGATGTCCAAGTACGTGGAGCTGCTGGACATGGGCGTGCGCATCGCCGCCAGGTTCCACTCCCACTGCCCGCAGACGGCGCGCATGTACTACAAGCCGCCGCAGTCCACCTCCTCGTCGTCATCGGGCGCCGCCGAGGCCGCCACGACGGATCGGAGGGCAGCCGGCTTTGACGGTGGCGAGGACGTGGCGGCTGGCTTCCGGCCCTTCGCAGCCTCGGGAGCTCTCGGCGCCGGCGTCGTCCAGCCGCGGTTCGGCTTCGACACCGCGCAGGTCGTCATCTACGAGGTCGTATGAGTTGAGGCTCCGAACAACGAGGGCGGGCTCTTCTGGGGAGAGATCTCTTCGATGAGAATATTTTTGAGGCCAAGGAATTGGTCGATTTATGACACCATTCTTTAATTAGTTTGTGTACATGCCGGAAGAATTGATCAAAGAAAGAGTTTTTTGTTCTTACTCGCATTTGTGCATATATACTCGGACGACAATGATGAATCTCGTTCCGCTTTTCCCTTGAGAGGAATCACTACAACGCCCGTTAAACAAACAAATTTTAATTTGAGAGACAAGTTTGAAATAATTTTTTTCGGACCGAGGGAGTACGAGGTCGAAGGGCAAGATCTTCAACCTAATTGTCTCTGCCCATCGTCGATCCCCGCTGCCACCATAGCACGGCCGGAAAAAGACTCGAGCAGCCTTCACATCCATATTTTTTTAAAAAAAGGAGGAGGACCCCCGGCCTCTGCATCTGGACAATGCATACGACCGCTTTATTAATTATTCTCATAAGACCTTACAAAGTGATACAACAGTAAGACTAAGTCACCGTCTATGCAACAACTGTCGCTACTCCTATCCAATTGATGAAGGGGCGCTGATAGTCTGGGCCTAATACCAAACAGACATCGCAGCCAAACTTAAACATTCAAGACCTGAGGTCCCAACCAGGACGCCTGCCGGGTATGGGGCACCTACCAGTCCGGCGCACTGCTCAACCAGGACGCCTACCGGGTATGAGGCCGCCGCAGCCACCTTCACCAATCCATCTTCAGTGTGTACTGCTGCACCACTTTGTCCGGCCTCTATGCCATCGACGCCACCATGGCGCCTAATAACAGCACCCTCCTGCGCGAGTCCCTCGCCACACATCAGACGCCGAGTCTCCACCACGCCACGCCGCCGAGAAACGCCGCCATTAATGTGCAGGATGAAGCACCGCTCCACCAATTATTTTGTCCACTGGTCCCTCGAGCCCGTGTACACCTTCAAGAATGACGCCACAGGAGGAAAACGACACAATAATGCCGCCGTCATCCGATCTACTGATCTAGGGTTTTCCCCGGAGGTAGCAGATAGTGTCCTGGAACTTCTCAACAGTGATGCCTTCAACAAGGGAACGACACCGAAAAGTGCCGCCATCGTCGGCCTCGGCAACAGCCGTGAGCAGGTCTTCACCCAGATCTTGTGCACGGATCGTCCACCACCGCGGCCGCTGCATCGCCCGTCGCGAGACCACAGCCACCGACATAACCTCCACCGTCCGGGGCCGCCGCCCCGGGATCCAGCCCTCGCTGGCCGCCAGAGCGAAACCAACGAGCCCCATCAATGGCGGCGCAACCGCATACCGCGCCGCGAGAACTCCACCATAGCGTCGTCGCGCCGACCGCACGCCGCCGCCAGAAGCGCCCGCTGCCACGCCGCCGTGCCCCACGCTAGCCCAGTGCCTTCCATCGATCTGGCCGTCCCGTGCCAGCCAAACGACGAAGGGAAGAGGCGTCCCGCCGCCCCCCACGCCAGGCAGGCTTCACCGGCCGGCGCGCCTGGGCGGTGGCGAGGGGACTGGAGGAAGAGGGGGGACGGGGAGCAGCGGCGGTGGGAGGCCTCCCCTGTCGCCAGCGGGAGCGGCAGAGGAGGTCGATCCACTTTTTTCGGGGGCTAGCTGAATGGTGAGTCCAATCCTCCACACCCATATATAAAAAGAGTTCCATTCGAGACTGTTAGAAGGGAGAGAAGGATTTGGTGAAATAGTTCATTGTATTGCTTGAGCCTCGTGGGCATATATATAGGAGTACATGATCTACTTGGAGTACAAGGCAAGCCAGAATATTTCCTAGTCTAACCTATGTTTTCTAATACAATCACGTTACTCAACATCCCCCCGCAGTCACAACGGTAGCGACGCAGACGGTGAGACTGGAGAAGAATCTGAAGGCAAGCCGACGGACACCCCTCCCCCCATAGTCGTAACGGTCGACGCATCGCAGAGTCGTGGCTGGAGTGGAAACCAACGAGGTTGCTCAAGCAGGCGGTAGCCCTTTGTGCCGTTTGTCGATGTAGCCGAGTGCCGAGGGTGGTGTAGTCGTGGTCGAGGTAGCTGCGCTAAGAATGTCGTGGTCGATGTCGAGTCGGGGAGCCGGTGTCGAGGATGTCGCCGTGGAGCCGCGGGCGCAAGAGGGCGCCGAGTTAGCATGGGCGCAGTGGTGTTGAAGTAGTGGTGCGCCGGGAAGAAGACATTGTTGACGACGCGTCGCGGCGGGTTTGCCAAGCCCGGGGACACATCATAGACGAAGGCACGCACCGGTGTTGCTAGCACCGGGCATGTGTAGACGGACGAAGACGAAGTTGACAAAGCACCACACCAGGCTTGCCAGGCCTGGGGAAACATCATGGACGAAGGCACACATCGGTGTTGCCAGCACCGGGCATGCATAGACGAGGACCTGCACAAGTTGTACGCCATGTCGGAGGAGGTGGACGGGCGGCTACGTGGGTAGCGGCGGCGGCTGCCAAAGAAGAGCGGCGGCGGTGGCCTGACGGCGGCGGCGGCGGCGGTGCTCGAAGTAGGCGAAGAACCTGACAGCATGACGAAGACCGGCGCGGACGGTGGCGTTCCCGCGCCAAGGAAGATGGCGCGACGCATACCACGGGAAGTCAACCCACGTGGACGACAAAGTGGACAGTGGGCCGTCGCGCTACGGTCTGAAGGGGCGACGAAACGGCGGCGGGCAGGTCGGGGTGACGGCGGGAAGACCTCGGGGCGGCGGCAGGGACCGCGGACCGCGACGCGACAACTCGAAGGGGCGGCGCGGCGGAGGAGCGCGGGTCGATGCAACCGCGGGGACGGCCTTGGGACGGTGGCGTGGACCGCGTGCCACGTTCGCTACGGCCTGATGGGGCGACGCAGTGGCGGCGCGAGGGTCTGTGCGGCTACGAGGACGACCTGGAGCGGACGGCCTCTGGGCGGCGGTGGACCGCGGGCCGCGGTACTACGGCCCGAAGGGACGACGCAACGGTGACGCGGGTCGGTGCAGCCGGGAGAAGAACCACGGGGCGGCGGCGCTGCGGCCCGACGGGGTGACGCAGCGGCAGCCCGTTGCTCGATCGGTAGAGGGGCGCGCTGAACCCGGGACGGTCTTCACGGGACATGCGGAGGCGCGCGCAACCGACGGGCCAGGTCGGTCGCACGACGTAGATGAGGCGGATCGCGGCGGCGGGCGGGTGATCCATCCGATCGCGCGCGAGGTCGGGGACGCCGCTCGGTGGCAGCGCGGTGGCGGCGGAGTCCGAGATGAAGCCGGCGGCGGCGGGCGGCAGGACGACTATGATTGGCCGCTGCATGGCGCGAGGCCGCCGGGTCGGGGTGATGCAGGAGTCCCGGTCGGAGTAGGGCGGTGACGGCCGGCGTAGATCGACGGGAGGGCCGTCGCGCGAACGGCGACGGTGAAGGGCCGCCGCATGACGCGAGGCGGCCGGGTCGGGGCGACCGGCGGGCCGACGCGCGAGGCCGCCGAGTCGGGGCGACCGACGGGCAGACGCGCGGACGATGCGCGAGGCCGCCGGGTCGGTGAAGAAGCCGGCCAATCGCGCCGGTGTTGGAGTAGAGGCGCACGGGATCGAAGGCGGCGGTGGGCGACGCAAACCGGATCACATAGACCGGAAAACCAAAAAGTAGACGCCGATCAAAGCGACCGACGAGAGAGAGAGAAAACCGGATCAAAGGATCGGAAAAAAAGACTCTCTAGGGCAGCCGACCAACACGGCCGGCGGACGAACCCTAGATACGGGCGGCGCGGCCCCCGGCGGCGGTCATGGAGGCCGACCGCCCCAGGGGCAGCGCGCGGGTGCGGCGGCTAGGGTTTAGAACCCGGAAACTGATACCATGTTAGAAGGGAGAGAAGAATTTGATGAAATAGTTCATTGTATTGCTTGAGCCTCATGGACATATATATAGGAGTACATGATCTATTTGGAGTACAAGGCAAGCCAGAATATTTCCTAATCCAACCTATGTTTCTTAATACAACCAGGTTACTCAACAGAGACCACGCTGCTTTGTGAATCTCATCTAGTTAGTTCTCAATACCGTCACCACTGATTTACCACCATTTGAAAGCCTTGTTCAAAGATCGGCAAAGGAAACGTTAATTTGGTGGAATTACAAAGTTTGGACGAAACTACTACACATCAAGCCAAAGACCGATGAAGTGGGAATATGATGTTTGATCATCCACCTGATTCCTCACCAAAATAAATAATAATCCCAGGCATGTAACTTAATCATACGGCTGGCGGATTACTCAACATACGTCACCAAGACTTATTAATTATATGGAGCCGCTCGGCTTATAGTTATCTTAAGCAGCCATTGGATTCCCAAATCACGTGGAATCGTGAAGAAAAAGTCCTAGCTACTCGTCGGTTAAACTAGACAGAAGCTGGTTTCAGCGTATGTTCACTAGTTTCTGGCGTGGATTGATCAATCATGCGGCTGGCGGAAATGATTAACACGTTTCAAAGCTTAATCATGGACCGCTCCAACTAATCTGATGGCGCTAATGATCAGCCGTAACATGATTCCCAAATCGCGCGGAATATTTAAGAAAGTCAAAGTTATTGAAAAGCCAACGAAATCGTCCTCTGTACATCTGACCTTCAGGGTAACGAAAGTGCCTTCAGCTAATTACGAAGTAGTACTTCAAAACGATCTTATATCTCTTTATAAAGGATACTAGTACTCCCTCAGTCTTGAAATAAATGTCTTAATTTTTGTATAAATTTGTATTAAAGTTAGTATAAAGTTAAGACACTTATTTTTGGGACAGAGTGATACATCATACCCCATATTCCCAGCTGTGCAACTTCATGCATGCCATCATGCAATTGGATACATACAACTTACAAGCGGGCCAGCTGGGTTTCAATTCTTTTTTTTTTTGAAAGATCTAGAGTTACCGGCTTCATTGATTTAGGAGAAAGCAGACAGAAAAAACATGGGTGATCAAGTAATCAACTTACAA